GGAAAGGGATCAGCCGAAAGGAAAAGGAAAAGGAAAAGGAGAGGAAGAGGTCCACGTCCGATCCGGGGAACCACTTGTCCGTCGACGTTGAACGGAGGTATATATCCTCCTTTGGCGAATGACGGGGAGGCGAGGAGAGGGCAGGTCGTCGACTCGCGACAAACAGACCGCAAGGAATTACCGGCGCGCGTTACCATTAGTTTTATTGCCCCCCTCGGCTTGGGCTCGTCCCGAGAGAGACCGCAAAAAGTTCCGACCGGGCAAGAAGGACCCCGTCGTCGTCGTCGTCGTCGTCGTCGCCGTCGTCTTCTTCGTCGTCTTCTTCGTCATCGCTGTCCTCCTCCTCCTTCTCCTCCTCTGGAAACTATTCTCTCTTTCTCTCTCGATCGAGGAGAGGCTGCTATACGTAGGTAAGAAGGGGCAAAAAAACGGTAGATCGAGAAGATCAGCCTTCTTAACCAGAAGATTTTCTTGCGGACGTGTTTCCGGCAGGGAGGCCGCAATAAATTCAGCCGTACGGTTACTTCGGTGGCGCAAAGAGAGATTATTACGGCGAGTAAAGGGGACGAGGGAAGGGAAGGGAAGAAGAGGGGAGAGAGAGAGAGAGAGAGAAAGAGAGAGAAAAAAGAGGGGGAGAAAAAAGGATTTCGTTTCGGTAGACGGACGAAACGAAGGTCGAAACGCAGCGACCGTGGATCGGAAAAATTTGCGGTGGGGATGATCGAGCGAGATTATTTGCGAGGCGATGAAACGGCGACTTTGGCCGGTATTCGCTCGGTCGGACGATTGTCTTCGTCGCTCCTTCGTAACGGGCGCAAGGGAGGGACGAAGAGGGAACGAGGCGAGGAGAAGGCGAGGCGCGAGGTGGTTGATGAACGTTCGGCATCGCGCGAACGCCATTAGAGGAACGAAGAAAAGTCGCCGAGTTGTTATTTCGACGCCTACGCGCGAGTTTTATCGCCTGGGAAATTGCGTTAGGACGGTAAATTTCAACCTCCCCTCTCCCTCTTCCCTCTCCCCCTCCGTTCCTTCGTCCACGCTCTATCTTTCCGCGCCGCTTTCACTTTGCCGTTCTTTCGTCACGCAGCCTCACGCGCACGCGCACACGGCCAACTCGACTCGACGGTTCGAGCGACGAAAAAAGACGGAACGACTCCGCGTGCGTGGTTAACGGCCGCGGAATTTAATTGGCTTCTCTTTTAACGCGTCGTGCCGATTTTTCGGCGAACCGAAAATTTCCCGCAGCCGATTTCTCTCAGTGTGAAATTGCTCGAAGCGATAGAGAAAAAGAAAGGAGAGAGAGGAGGAGGAAGAAGAGAAAGAGAATGGAAAGAAGGAGAAGAGAAAGACCGAAAGAATGATACATCGACGTCCACAAGCTGTTTCTTTAATCTCTCCCTAAGCGGTGGAGAGATTTTAAACGGAATTAATTACGCCACTTAACGCGTTTCGCTGCTCGGATAGCGCGCAAGATTAGCACATTAGACCTCGTGGCTAACGCGGCTTTTATCCGAGCGAATTCCATTCGCGCTTCTCGATTCTTAATCGGTTAGCTTCGATTCCAAAATTCTCCGTTTTCGAAATCGCTTTCGGAACAGATGGAGACGGATTAAAATCGGAAAAATATTCCCTAGCTTTTTAAATCGCTCCGCGTACGATACTTGTGCCCCGCCTTCTCCCCTCATCCCCAATTCGAGCAAAAGAAATACAAAACTACTATCGATCGATGGTCATTAACTCTCTCGAAAATTACATCTAAAATCCAATCCTTTCTACAGGATTAAAAATGGGATGAAAAATTTTTTCGAAAAATTTGCATTCGAGCGTGAAGAATATCGGCAAGAATGTTGACCCGAAACGAGTTCTTATATAAGTATCCATCGAATACGGAAGAAGAAAAGAAGCAGGGAAGGAAGAAAAGTTTCGAATGGATTCCGCGGTCTCGTTCCGAGGGAATTCGATGAAATTCAGTCGTCGCCGCTCAAAATGCCGATATACTCGATCGAGGCGCGTTAACCTTATCGATTCGAGGTACGATACGAGGAGAGGAGGTAGATTCGCTCCGATCCACTCCGTTTTCTATTTCTTCGCCGCTGGATCTCGACTCCAGTGGTAAATAGACACGAACCGCCGGGTTTCGAGATAAAGCCAATAAAGCCCGTGGAAAGCGGAGCGAGCTGTCGGAAGAAAGGAAGGAGCGAAACGGAGGATGGAAGGGGAATTCTTCCCTTCCCCTTCGTAGCAACCAAACGATTCCTTCCCCTCCTCTCCTTTCTCCCTCGACGAACCGTAATATTGCCACCATAATCGCGATTCCGATGGTGTATAGCTTCGGACGAGGGAAGAGAAGGGGGCCAAGACTTAGAGGGTGGACCAAGTTTCAGTCTAGCTGTGGGCTCGTGGATCTTAATATACACTCACACACACACACACACATATATATA